GCACCTTGGGGTGCTTACAAACATCATTAGAAATGGGCTAGTCCAGGTGCGAGAATTAGCCTATAAGGGCTAGAGTATGGGCCAAGCAGTTCTTTAAATGAATACAGTTTGTGTGTTGTTATTTCGGGCATAAGCTAGCCAAGCGGCCGGGGTGTTGGGGACGCAGCCCCGCCGCCGCTCATATTTCAACAGACTAGGGCTATACGAAGAAACCCTGTCTTAAAAACAAAAAACAAGACAACAAAACCAAACCAAAACTAAACAAACACACACAAAAAAGACCCTGCCTCAAAACCAGGATGGAGAACAATTGAGAACGACACTCTTGTCAATCCCTGAAACACACAGGGCAAAAAAAAATCATTCTGAGAACTTAAAAAATCTCTTCGGCTATTGGAAGAACTCTGGCAGTTGGGCGAGGCTTCTTTCTGGGAAAAAGGCTTGGGCAGTGAGGGTGGAAACTGGTACAAGATCTACAGAGAATAGTTTAGTGACACTGTTCAAAATGGCACACTTGCCCTTTGACTCACTAGAACTAGAAGTTGGGCAGAGACACCCTTGCATTCAGAGGTCACCGTCAATCACTGGAGGGCACACATCCCTGCTGACCCTCCCTGAGCACAAGGGATTCTGGACTGGTTATGTCCAGGAGGCCCCTTCCTGTTGGCTTCTGACGTCATGCTTTCTCTGCAGACCTAGGGGAGGAATCTGGGTCCTGAGTTTGAGGAAGACAGGACAATAGCCTGCTCCTGCTGGGAGAGTTAATGGTGGTCATAAAAGGGGGGCGTCCAGCAAAGGCCCCAGGTCAGAGGTCCCAGGTCAGCAGGTGAGTCTTGGATGCCATGTGGATGAGGCTGGGTCATGCAGTAGACATTTTTCTGTTTTTTTTTTTTGGGGGGGGGTGTTGAGACATGGTCTCACTAAGTTGCCCACTATTCTCAAGCTCACTCTGTAGTCCCGTCTTGAAGTCATGATTTTCCTGCCCCAGACTCTGCTCTAGCTGGGATGATAGGCATGGGTGCCAGGTAAGATCTTTGTGTATGTGTGTGTGTATACATGCGTGCACCATGTGAAGGTGAACGTGTGCATCTGTAGGTGCGTGCTTATGGAGGCCAAACTCATATGTCGTTCTTCGGATGATGTCCATCCTGGGTTCTGTTCATCGTTTGCTTTATGCGCATTGGTGTTTGGTCTGCATATATGTCTGCATGAAGGAGTCACATCCAGTGGAACTGGAGATTCAGACAGCTATTAGCTGTTTGGTCTGCATATACATCTGCATGAAGGAGTCACATCCAATGGAACTGGAGATTCAGACAGCTATTAGCTGTTTGGTCTGCATATACGTCTGCATGAAGGAGTCACATCCAATGGAACTGGAGATTCAGACAGCTATAAGCTGCTGTGTGGGTGCTGGGAATTATACCTGGGTCCTCTGGAAGAGCAGCCAGTGCACTTGGTCACTGAGCCACCTTTCCAGCCCCCCATCCTGCTTTTTGTTTGTTTTGAGACAGGGTTTTACTGTATAGTCCTGGCTGTCCTGAAACTCACTCTGTTGACCAGGTTGGCCTTGAACTCAGAGATCTACCAGCCTCTGCTTCCTGAGTGCAGGGATTGCAGGGATTAAAGGTGTACACCACTCCCACCCCACAGCCCAGCCTGTTTTTTGAGAAAAGGATTCTGATTGGGTTCTGGAGTTTACCAGTTTTCGGGGACCCTCCAGTGTCCACCTCACCAACAATGATATTTTAAGAGTGAGTCGCTGCACCTGTTTTTTTTTTGACTGGGTTCCAGGGATCAAACTCAGGTTTTCATGCTCATGTGACAAGCATGTTACCAACTGTGCCCGTGGCTCCCAGCTCTCAGATGTGTTCTTTTTTTTTTTTTTTTTTTTTTTTTGGCTGTTCTCCAACTTTATTTGAGATTCAGTAGGTTAGTTCTCATCCACATTGACTGTCTGTAGATTTTTGAATGTGGTAACAGGCACGTAAGTTACCAATGTGTAGAGTTTGTTTGGTGAGTCCTCATCCTCATTACGTTTTCTGGACAAACGTACCCGGATACGATATGGAACATTCCTTATTCCTTTGGCCCAGACGGCTTTATTGAGCCTGGTATCAATCCGCACATCTGGAGTCCCCATCTCCTTCATGGCAAATTTCCGGATTTCTTTGAGTGCCCTAGGAGCACGCTTCTTAAAGCCCACGCCATGGATGCGCTTGTGAATGTTGATGGTGTATTCTCGGGTCACCACCTCGTTGATGGCAGAACGGCCCTTCTTCTTCTCGCCACCCTTCTTTGCGGGAGCCATTCTGCCGGGCCCAAGCTCTCTCAGATGTGTTCTTAATGGTGTGGTGACCGAAGGTTTCTGGGGTGAGCGGAGAGTGACAACCCTTCTATGTCTCTGGGTGGTGACATGATGCTTCCCCCACACACCACCCTGCATCAGACACTCAGCCTATGGGGAAAGACAGCCACCTTGGGCAGGGCAGCCAGCATGGGGGCAGGAGCAGAGGGAACCAAAATGTTGCTTTTTTTGTTTAATAGAGTGAGCCAGAGAAGCTGAACAATGCGGAAAAGATATCTTGAGATGAAGAAATGAAAAAGTTGGAGCGGGGTGGGTTATTCAGTTGGTAGAATGTTTGCCTAAGACGCAGGAGTCCATGGGTGCGCCGGCACCCAGTTCGCGAGCTTAGGGCAAGGGGGCTGGAGGTTAAAATACACAGACACACACAGACAGAGAGACAGGGACACGGGTCATCCTTGAATTCCCCAAGAATGCCCCCTTTATTGTGTTCAGGGACAGATTATATAGAGATAGCCACGCCCCAGCCAAACCCACCAGAAACCACTCTCCTGCCATCAGGAACTCCTGAAGGTCTCGTCCTCAGAGCAGCTGTAGGCACTCAGATCAGGGGATTACAAGAAATTCAGGATCTGAGGTCTCACGGCTCCCAACAATAAATCATGAACCATCGCACAGGGTTGCTGTCTAGATCTCTCATCCAGGGCTGAACACGTGGCGGTCCCTGGTTCTCAGCATTTTAGTCTTCGCATTAGCTGTCACACACTGCAGACAGGAGCTTCTCACTGAGTCGTGCGGAGCTCACATTCAATCCCAGCACTCAGGAGGCAGAGGCATTTACCAAGTCTTTCTCTGTTCTGCCATCCAGCTCCCAAATAATGCCAAGGAGACTGATTATTAATTATGGAAGCTTGGTCTTAGCTTAGGCTTGTTTTTGACTAGCTCTTATAACTTAAATTAACCTATTTCTATTAATCTATGCTCTGTCTGTCACCTACCGCTCATCCTGATTCTGTGTCTCCTGGTGTCCCTTATGTGCCTAGATTCATCTCCTACTTCCTTTTTCTCTACCCAGAAGTCCCACCTACACCTCCTACCTAGCTATCAGCTGTTCTTTATTAAACCAATCATAGCAATATACCTTCACATCTTCTACAAATATCCCACAACATTTTCCCCTTTTTGTCTAATTAAAAAAGGAAAGGTTTTTAATTTTAACAGAGTAAAACTATATAAAAAAGGACAATTACCAAGTAAGAGTTGCATTCACAATGTTTAGTCCTTACGTATTTGGCAAATTCAGAGAAAGTACCGAGTAAGCAGGAAGTGCAGTGAAAACAACTTTCAAAACTACAGAGATGACAGAAGCAGCTTTTTCTCATCTTGTCTAGTTCTCCCTTCCTTCTCTTCGCTCCTCTCTTTCCTATGAGTTTTCTTGTGCTGTTCAATGTCCGGCCCTCATCAAGCTAAGAAAACGTAAGCACTGTGCAGACCCCTGAACTAGAACACCCTCGATTCCGTGGAGGAGATGGTGTGTGGGTGGGTTGTACAAAACGCTGTGGTCAGGATGCGACATGTGAACCTCGGGAGATGCGTCCCGCTTTCGGCCACCATCTCTGGCCCAT